ATAGGATGGAAATGAAAAATGACAAGAAAAAGAGATAAAAGAAAATATAGGATGGAGTCAGAATGTGAACTTGTGGAACACCAGATGAAGCCCTCACAAATTCGGGAATGACACAGTGAGAAAGTGGTGTTTTGGGAAGCCAACTCAGGCTTCAGTGAGTAGCATAGTATGCAAACGAATTGTATGCAGGACGATTTTATGTGGTACAGAAACATTTTATTTTTTATTTATTTTTATTTTTTTTGAGACTGAGTTATTTTTTTTGAGACTGTTACCCAGGCTGGAGGGCAGTGACACAATCTCAGCTCACTGTAGCCCCCGCCTCCCGGGTTCAAGCTATTCTCCTGCCTCAGCCTCCCCAAGTAGCTGGGATTACAGGCGAGTGCCACCACACACACACACACACAAATATTTTTGTATTTTTAAGAGAGACGGGTTTTTTGCCATGTTGGCCAGGCTGGTCTCGAATTCCCGACCTCAGGCGATCCACCCACCTCAGCCTCCCAAAGTGCTAGGATGCCACCGCGCCCGACCTTTATTCTGGTTTAGTATTTGATACATGTAACTAGCACATCAAATTTATGATTGCAGGGTCATTACTGCTTATGGCAAAGCTATTTTAATATAACTTAAATAAAAAATGAGCTGTTTGAAAGAAAATGGTAACCATAGAAGATAGTTGGTGATATATTAATAGCCAAGGATGAAAAGCGCACGATTAGAGGGACAAAAGACAGACAGCAAGAATAAGGAAGGCCGTGTACCCAAAGCTGTGGAAGGATGGAATTAACATTGACCATCAGAATAGAATGAAAGGCTGGGAGTGGTGGCTCACACCCAGAATCCCAACACTTTGGGATGCCGAGTGGGGAAGATTGCTTGAGCCCAGGAGACTAGCTTGGGCAAAAGAGTGAAACCTCATCTCTACAAAATAATAATAATAGAAAGAAAAGAATGATTGTGAGAGCTACAGCAACATCTGTTTGTGGGAAGGAACCCAAGGGGAAAGACAGTGCCAGCAGAAAAGTACTACACATTGAATCCTGACAGCTTAATATGTCCTTAGAACACGTTTACAATCCTTTATGTAGAAATGTATCCTTTAAAGAATGAGGGTGCGTGCATTCTAAAATGAGGAAGAACTAGATAGAAGAGATCATTTGTTTTAACACTATGATGAGGCTTTACAATAATGACCTCTTTGTTAGTGAGAACTGATAACATCTAAGGAAATAAGTTGAATATAGGGCTGGGCATTTTCCAATTGGTTGCCTCAAAGGTCACAAGTAGTATTTCTTGGACTGAAGAAAACCACATTAACTGGGCCACGCGGTGGCTCACGCCTGTAATCCCAGCACTTTGGGAGGCTGAGGCGGGCGGATCACAAGGCCTGGAGATCGAGACCATCCTGGCTAACACGGTGAAACCCTGTCTTTACTGAAAATACAAAAAACTAGCCAGGCGTGGCGGTGGGCACCTGTGGTCCCAGCTACTCGGGAGGCTGAGGCAGGAGAATGGTGTGATCCCGAGAGGCGGAGCTTGCAGTGAGCCGAGATCGCACCACTGCACTCCAGCCTGGGCGACACAGCGAGACTCTGTCTCAAAAAAAAAGAAAAAAGAAAGAAAGAAAGAAAACCACGTTAACTGTATCCCAATCAGTTCTCAAAATTTGATGTGAAAAAATGGGATCTTACCCACTGCTCAAAAGAACTAGTCACACTAACTGGAAAGAAGGGGAAATACTCAAACGTTGAACAAGAGGGTCACAGTTTAAAATAAGCGGGCTGATGGAGCCTCCACAGTTGTACACCTTAACAGTCCCGGAATGGAGCAAAAGCTATAAACACAGCAGTCCTACAGAATTTGTTTAGAATTAAACAAACAGGCAAACAAAAACATGGTGGAACCTCAGCGCGTTCCACCAGGTGTTAACACACTCATTTAAGAAACAGCTGCCGGTCGCGTGACTGATTTGTCAACGCTTTACCACGCGTTCTACTTTGCAGATTCTTGAAGCTGAACAGAGGCCAAACTTCCCTGGGGAGGGGGACACTCAACATACAGCCTGCTCTGGCTACTTAACATTCCCTGAAGACTGCAGTCTATTCAGTGTCAACCTCTAAATCCTCCTGACCAAATCCTTTCTGAGAATAGCTCCCTGCACTCCTCTTGAGCAATACTTGTTTGTTTACTTGCTCTCAAGAGCAAAGCGATGACACCACGATGGATAGGACACTGGGCCTATAGTGGTGCAGACAACAAAGCCAGTGGCCTCTCTCTTCCAATCAGAAAGAGGAGAGGAGGGAGAGGCCGAGCAGGCCAGAGGCCCCGAGAAAATTCTCCGCATGACTTGCCATCCATATTGAGTGTGGCAAAAAATAACCCCGATGCCTTCCATAGGGCAGGTTAATGTTTTGTGATTCATTTGACAGGTTCTTACACACAGCTAGACAGCATGATTTATAGCCACTTACATCACTCATGCTGGGCCATCGCATTCAATTCTTAGCAGTTACATCATTTCCCCACGGTTATGGTCATTTCATGGTATGAAAAAAGGAATAGGTTGCCACTGCTGGGCTTTCAAGAATGAATGATTATTTGGTAGTTTAAAGGCGCCGTGAAATTCCTAGAGAAAACATTGAGTAAATTAAAATGAAAGATGTGTTCTTGCTTTTCTACTTTACGTGGATTATTACAGGGAACATTAACGTTTATATTACACTATGCTTATATTAACTAGCTTAAAATGATTCATGAGTAATATTAATTTACCACTCCGAATATTGTTCACTACATTAAATTTCTACTAAACTGCAGTCTTTTGGGTCACATGAAATGTTTCATAAATACTCAAGCACACTTATGCTTCCAAAAGTTACATGAAGTTATTTCTTAATTTATATTTATTTGTATATGAATGTACATTATTATAATATATACTATATATAATTATATATTAACTGTGTTGTTATTACACGGGGATGAAACCTATGAGCCACCTTTATACCCCAATCACTTTGGATTCTTTTCTGAGAGCCATGGAAGGATATATGGCTTTAGATTCAAGTTGGAATTAGAAGTTAGGCACAGAAGTGTAGCAGATTTGCAAATGTGGACTTCACTTCTGTATTTTAAAAACACGCAGAGTAATCCTGGCCCATTACTACACAACCATCGATGCTACTTCCTCTGGCCATGAACCCAAGGCCTGGCGTAATTTGGTAAAGCTTTATGGATGCCCAAGGGTAGGAAAATTTGAGACTCTGCTTCCCCTCCCCCATCTCCATATGCCACATATCGATTTTTCCCCTTCTTCTTGCATTTGGAACAGTTGTCCAGCAAGAGAAAGAAAAAGCCCATTTCTTACAAAGCAGCAATTCAGCCAAGAAAGCACTCACCAGTCAATACTTAATATCATAAAAATCCAGAAAAGAAACCAACACAGACTCCACTATCTTTTAAGACTTCAAAACTGATAATTTTATGTTTGGCAGAAGGTAGGTACATAATATGTGCTTACTGGATTTTTTTCTATTTTCACAGAATGCAAATCAACAGACTATAGACATCTTCTGAACTCTGTCCTGTCCTCCCGGGAAGCAGAGGTTGCAGTGAGCTGAGATCACGCCACTGCACTCCAGCCTGGGCAACCGTGCAAGACTCTGTCTCAAAAAACAAATAAAAAAATAAAATAAACAAACAGTGGAAGAATAAAGAACTACAAATAACATCATTCTTCTGATGGTGGGAGTAATTAATTATCTAAGGATCTATGACAGTACTTGGCTTCTCTAGAAGAAATCCCAGCTGTATAAAACCACTTTAAGAAATATATTTCTTTTTTTTTTTCTTTTTTCTTTTTTTTGAGACGGAGTTTTGCTCTTTTCCCCAGGCTGGAGTGCAATGGCACGATCTTGGTTGACTGCAGCCTCCGCCTTCCGGTTTCAAGTGATTCTCCTGCCTCAGCCTCCGGAGTAGCTGGGATTGCAGGCGCCCGCCATCACACCCTGCTAATTTTTGTATTTTTAGTAGAGATGGGGTTTCACCATGTTGACCAGGCTGGTCTCTAACTCTTGACCTCGTGATCCTCCTGCCTTTGCCTCCCAAAATGCTGGAATTACAGGTGTGAGTCACCGCACGGCGCGAGAAATATATTTTCATACTTTTTTGTGTGTGTGGAGAACCGGGTCTTGCTATGTTGCCCAGGCAGGTCTCGAACTCCTGGGCTCAAGAGATCCTCCAGTCTCTGCCTCCGTAAGAGCTGGGATTACAGGCGAGAGCCACCGCCCCCGGCTATTTTCGTGTTTTGCATGTTTCAAATTCACAGTGTAGATTGTATCAGCCTAATCCAATCACTTTATCCAACTGGGATAGAAGAAAGGCTTTTACAAAGTCAAAAGGAGAAATCCTGGAACTATGGGCTCTTTCAAAGTATTAGATACTAAAGAACAAAAACAGCCAAATAGCCGGGAGCAGTGGCTCACGCCTATAATCCCAACTCTGAAGGAGGCCGAGGCGGGAGGGTCGCTTGAGGCCAGGAGTTCAAGACCAGCCTGGGCAACAAAGCGAGACTGCGGCTCTACTCCCAGCTTCTGGGGAGGCTGAGGCAGGAGGATCCCTTGAGCCCAGGAGGTCGAGGCCGCCACGAGCTATGATCGCGCCACTGCATTCCAGGCTGGGCAACAGAGCAAGACCCTGTCTCAAAAAAAACCCAAAGGATCCAGTGCTGTTCCTACAGAGACACGTTGGCCATAGGCTGAGGTGGGCAATAGCAACCAAATATCGCATGGTGATTGACGCCCTGCGACCCATTTGGAGTCCTCAAATGTGACTGCCCTGTTACAGATGAGCCCGAGACTCAAAAACTGTCACGAGTGTAAGGTGTCCCGCGAGTTCAGTGGCTGGGAGGCTGAGGGGTGGACAGGGCGGCTAGCGACGTGGGGCAGCCTGGCCGTCGCCGCAGGCGACCTAACGGGAGGAAGATCTCACAGCCACCAGGAGCGTCCCAGGATGAAGGCCTCGGGACAAAAGCAGTTCCGTAGACGCCCCAAGGCTGGGCGTCGAGTGACTGCAGGCGGAGGTCACCAGCGGCCGCTCCCCGGAAGCCACCCACGGACCGCACGCGCCCCTGCACGCGGAGGGGGCCCGGGCTCCACGGGCGAGCGGCGACCCTGTCTCCCGAAGAGGGCGCGGCCTGCCCTGCGCGCCTCAGCCCGGGGTGCCGGCGTCTGGGCCCGCACCGCCAAGTCTCTCTCCGGAGGGGAAGGGATGGTCGGGTTTACCCCATGTCCCTTCCTTTGACCGCTCCCTCAAGAGCGCCCCGGGACACCACGCCCGTGGCTCAGCCTCCCCCGCCCCGCGCTGCCCTCTCCTCAGGGCCAGGCAGCAGGCTCCCGAGCGCCCACAGCCCCGGGCTGCGGCCCGGCCCACAACCGTCACCTCAGGCGCCTCAGGCGCTCAGCATTGCTGGGCGGGGCAAGGGCACCACCGGGAGCATGCGCAGAGCGCCCGTTTCACCCATCGCGCATGCTCACACACCTACCCCGCCCCCACGCTGCGTGCCTCCCCTGTGTTCCGCCACGCCCGCCATGGCGGCGGCCCCGGCCGGCTCTGGCCCCGCCCCTCGGTGACGCGCTGCGAGTCACCTGACGAGGCTGCGGGCTGAGAAGACACAAGGGAAGTAGCTATCGCCAGAGTCGGATTCGCCGCCGCAGCCGCCGCCGCCCCCAGGAGCCGCCGGGACCCTCGCGTCGTCGCCGCCGCCGCCCAGATCCCCGCACCATGCCGTCGGAGAAGACTTTCAAGCAGCGCCGCACCTTCGGTGAGTGTCGCCGCGAGGGCGCCGGGTGCGGCGGGTCCGGGGTCCGAGCTGTGGAGGGCGGCAGGGCCTGGGACGCCGTGAGGGGCCGGGGCCGAGCCGGGAGGCCGAGCGGGGCCGGTGGCTGCCGGCCGGCGGGGCCGAGGGACGCGGGGCCCGGGGCACTGTGAGGGACCCAGGCTGGGGCCGAGCCGGGAGGACCGGGGGCTGGTCTGGGCCGGGGCGGCCTGCGGACCCCTCGGAGGCCTAGGAGGAGGCAGCCCGCGGCGGGCGGGCGGGGACCGGTGCGCTCGGGGCCCCCGGGCCTGCTGAATCACCCGGCGCCCTCCGCGGCGGGGTCCCTGCCGCACCCCGGCCACCGCCGCCCCCTCGAGCGTGCTGCCGGGCGAGGGTCGCGCTTCTGGGGCCCAAGGGCTCCGGGGCCACGCTGGACAGTTCGGCTCGGGAGCCAGGCTGCGCCGGGACCCGGCGCGTCACCTTCAGGGCGAGTTTTCCCGTCGAGGGAGCCCGCCCGGCTGCGAGTGCCCCTTACAGACCCCAGAGCCTCGGTCGAGAGCAGGGGAACGTGCTGGGCCCCCGGCCCCGCCGCGCCCGGGACGGCCCACGGCGGTGCTGACAGTTCTGTGTGTAGCCCGGGAGCTGGGGCGGGAGACTTCTCTTGGGTTTGCGTTTCCGTTCTCACCTGGACACCAGGAATACATCCCTTTTCCGCCAGTTCGGACTGGAAACCAACTTAGGTGTCCTGGCATTTGGTTAAACGTGCAGGTGTCACCATCACAATATTTACTCCACGCAGATGGTGCGAAGTGATTCTTTCCCTTTTGAGCAAGAGAACGCAGCAGATCCGGATATCTGTTTTTGCCTAAGCTCCGGGCACCGGTTTGGTGGGGAAGCACCGTGTTCATCCCAGTGGACGGCGAGTGCCTGCCGCCATCCCCGTCAGGAGCCCACACAGTGGTGCTGTTTGTCTGCTTTTGCCTGGTTTCCCGGAGTCTAGAAAGAGCTTAGCGTTCATTTGAGTTTGGATATAGTTTTGCAGGTCTCATTATTGACCGTTATTTTATTTCTTGTGCCTGAGAAACTTCAGTAAATGAAAATGGACCTTGGCTTGCCAAGCGTATCTTCTCCAACAGCCTCTTGAGGCAGTCCGTTGGTTAGCAAGACTTAGACGTGCCCTTTTTTGTTAGAAGTTTTCTTGTTAGTGACCTTAATGAACTCTTACTAGTGTCTAGGCTTATTGAGCCCTGAGGGCAGTATTTAAGGCAGATTTTCTTTCTTTCTTTTGTTTTTGAGACAGGGTCTCGCTCTGTCACCTGGGTTGGAGTGCAGTGGTGCCGTCACAGCCCCCCGCAGCCTCGACCTCCCGGGCTAAAGCGATCCATCGGCCCACCTCAGATCTGGCGTTTGTTTTCACCAGTGAAAAGTTAACTGGGAACATTTGTGTAGGAGAGATGCCATTTTTCTCATAACAGAAACTATAGTTATTTTCTTTTTTGCTTATAGTACTTTTGGGTTATTCTGGAAAAATCTCTGCGAAGAGTAGGTAGTAACGGTAGGAAATGTGAGATTAACACATCCGAACAAGGAATTTCCTGGAACCTAAAAGTGGCCCTGAGGGTAGACCAGCAATAATGCCCCATTTTTCTTCCCGTCGATGTATGTATCTTATATCCTCTGTATTTTCAGGGTTTTTCCCTTGGCTCACCTTTATTTTGTCCCTTCCCCTTTAAATGTCTCTTTAATAGTCACTTGGTAGAAACGTCTTAAGTATCTTTTAACAGCTGTTACCTTTCCTTGCTTCTGATTTTGGTAATTAAAAAATCTTTCTAGTTCATGAATATTTTGGTAATTTTGATCGTGATTACTGACAATTTTCAGACATGTGTCGCACAGTAAGTGAGGGAAATGAATCCTTGGAGAGAACCTCTTTATGGAGTCTAAGATTAGCCCCATTAGCTTGAGTGGTGCCTTCTCTTTCCGAGTGAGTGAGTTTAAGGTTAAAACTGAGTATAATTCTGCTGATAAACTCTACCAGGATTGAGAGGGTTCTCAAAGTTGAAATGGATTTTAAGACTCACTGAAAAGAACCCCTTCCTTTTGTAGCTAAAGAAACTGGGTGGGGCCTGGCGATGAAGATCATGGTCCACCTAGTGGCAGAGTCTGGACTGGTACCTTTAACCTGGCCTGAATTCTTCCAGTTTCCAGTAGGTAGCCATCATTTCCAGTATATTAAGTGGACCAAGACTGTGAGTCAGGACACATAGTGTGTCCTGGGAGATGTATTGGAAAACTGGAATAAACTTAAAAAATTAAAATTGTGTGGGGCATGGTGGCTCACACCTGTAATCCCAGCACTTTGGGAGGCCAAGGCAGGATCACTTGAGTTCGGGAGTTCAAGACCAGCCTGGGCAACATAGTGAGACCGCATCTCTACCAAAAAAAAAAAAAAAAAACAGACATAGAGTTGTTGTTGCTGTGTGGCCCAGGCTGGTCTTGAACTCCTGGCCTCAAGTGATCCTCCTGCCTTGGCTTCCCAAAGCCCTGGGATTACAGGTGTGAGCCACCATTCCTGGCCTGGGGAGGGGGAATGCTTCAATTCCTCTCTGAGAAGTAAATCCTGGAAAATATGTGTAACTGAAATTGTAACTGAAGATATCTCAAAACAACTTTGCAAATAATGTGTTCATTAAAATAGGAAACCTTAGGCTCCTACCCTTTATTTTAACGTTTGAAAAGGCTTCTAAGGATTCTTTTTTGTTTTAGAAGAAAGGAATATGGGGAAGGAGATTAGATTTTGGTGTGCATCTGGAGCAATCATTCAGTTGTTGATTAACTATCTTCTATGTAAAGCCTAAGCCCTGGGGGAACACAGTTTGGCCTCGAACTGGGTCCTTGACTGCCAGGGGGACAGTCTGTGGAGAAAGACAAATAAAAACAGATCATTACAGCATTAGGAAACTAAGGAAGTAAAAGACTTGCCCTCTTCTGTGCCATTGACTGTGCTGTTCATAATGCTTCTGTTGAATATACTGTTAGCCTCTAAAACAGCTGTCTCCTGAAGAATGAGTGGAGCGTCAGTGCGTACTGTGTACAGCCAGTTCCTCCAGGCTCAGCACTGGGTGCGTACCGTGTACAGCCAGTTCCTCCAGGCTCAGCACTGGGTGCGTACCGTGTACAGCCAGTTCCTCCAGGCTCAGCACTGGGTTTTCGTTGCTGCTGGACAGGCTGCTAAGATGCTCCTATGGGAGACTTGGGTGCTATTCTTTACAGCTTAAGGAAGTAACTTGTCTTTATACTTCACACCTTTCATGAAAATAATCATTTTGGTCTTTTTAGGTCGTATTTTAGAAATAAATCAGGGTAAAGATAACTTTAAACACTATAGTGTCTGACTTTGAAACTTCATAGAGCCTTTATGTTTTTTCCTTCTTTCCTTTTTTTTTTTCTGAGACAGGGTCTCACGCTGTTGTCACTCAGGCTGGAGTGCAGTGTCATGATCTCAACTCACTGCAACCTCCGCCTCCCGAGTTCAAGCGATTCTCCTGCCTCAGCCTCCCGAGTAGCTGGGATTACAGGCACCCACCACCACGCCCAGCTAATTTTTGTATTTTTAGTAGAGTTGGGGTATCACCATAATGGCCAGGCTGGTCTTGAACTCCTGACCTCAGGTGATCCACCCGCCTCAGCCTCCCAAAGTACTGGGATTACAGGCATGAGCCACTGCACCCGGCCACTAAATTTATCATTATTTGCATATTTATTCAATAGGAATATGCACTGGCAGAAATCCATGAGTTTGCAATCTTTGTGGCAAAGATGTTAAAATTTTGGATGGGGAGACAGAAGTCGAACTTATGGCAGTACTTGAAAATAGCAATTTTAAAAGTTTTTATAAAGAGTGATACTAAAATTGGGCCAGGCGCGGTGGCTCACGCGTGTAATCCAGCACTTTGGGAGGCCAAGGCAGGTAGATCATGAGGCCAGGAGATCGAGACCATCCTGGCTATGGATGAAAACCATAGCCCGTGTCTACTAAAAATACAAAAAAATTAGCCAGCCGTGGTAGCGGGCACCTGTAGTCCTAGCTACTCGGGAGGCTGACGCAGGAGAATGGCGTGAACCCGGGAGGCGGAGCCTGCAGTGAGCGGCGATTGCACCACTGCACCCCAGCCGGGGAAACAGAGGAAAACCCCACCAAAAAAAAAAAAAAAAAAAAGTGATACTAAAATTTTTTTTAATCCGAATGAGATTGGCAATGATGTTAGAGTAACGTCATCTTTATGTAGGTCACACTATCTTTTTTCTGTCTCAAGAAGTTCATGACATTGATTATTTATTTGCCCTTACCATGAGAATCAATCCTACCGTAGTAAATCAAGGCGATTTTGCTCATTTTTTTTTTTTTTGGAGGTTTTAAATAATGCCATCTAAGTCATATGTTCACATATTGCCTTTTTTTTTAATACATGTGTTGCTTTGTAAGTGACTTCTCTCCAACTATATTTGTGGGTTTTTGAGAACTGAACTTGGCTTGCTTTTTTTCCTGTATTGCCCACAGTCTAGTACAGCTGTTGAACTTTGAATCAGTAAGTCGTTCTGTTAAAAGGGAGAATAGATATGTTTTTAGAAAAATATTCAACAGTAGACTTTGTGTCTTAAGCTGTGATTTCTCTTAGGTACTGAAGAAAACTAAAAAGAGTATTTTTTTTGTTTCCATATTCCGTTCTTTTTTGTTTTTTTGAGACAGAATCTTGCTCTGTTGCCCAGGCTGGAGTGCAGTGGCGCAATCTCTGCTCACCGCAACCTCCGTGTTCCAGGTTCAAGTGATTCTCCTGCCTCAGCCTCCCGAGTAGCTGGGATTACAGGCATGTGCCATCACGCCCGGCTAATTTTTGTATTTTTAGTAGAGATGGGACGGGGTTTCACCATGTTGGCCAGACTGGTCTCGAACTCCTGACCTCAAGTGATCTGCCCACCTCGGCCTCGCAAAGTGCTGGGATTACAGGCATGAACCACTGTGCCCAGCCTCATATTCCATTCTCTTGAGCGGTTTTTCTCTTAGGCACCATATCATTAAAAAGCTGGAAGTGATCAGAGAAAATTGCATTTCCTGGTTTATAAGGGATATAATGGATTCCATTTTCAACTATGGAAAATTAACAAAAATTGAAGTTAATATTATAGGTAGTAGTGGTCTTTGGAGGAAGGATTGGGACTCATGCAGTGGATCTGCCTTGTATATCTGTCCACAAACTTGGGCTCCCAGTTCCTTGAAATTAGTTGTCCCATATTCCTGGTCTGTGTCCTTATCACCTGATGTAGAGCCATGTATGTTATGTTGCCTTTGGCCTTAGATACAAACCTTTATCGGATGTGAAGTGTTCATGTTTTGTGTCCTTAAGTTCCAGGAGAGATGTCTTCACCGTTCTGCTGTGCCACAGCTAACAGCTGAGCTTGAGTGTAGAACCAGCAGCAGTGCTGGAAAGAAACTGGCCCTTCATAATGCTTCTATCTCTTCATTTCATTGCAGAACAAAGAGTAGAAGATGTCCGACTTATTCGAGAGCAGCATCCAACCAAAATCCCGGTAGGTAGTCTCAGGCCTCGGTTTCAGTCACGAATGTACACAGGAGAGCACTGCATAAGTGCATCCACTTGACAGGGTTTTTATAGGAATCACAAGACACCCAAACCCTGGATGTCAGCTTCACAACCTAGAAGGAGGTATCCTTTTTTTTAAGAGACAGGGTCTCACTCTGTTTCCCAGGCTGGAGTGCAGTGGTGCAATCATAGCTCACTGCAGTCTCAACCACCTTGTGCTCAAGCAGTCCTCCCTCCTCAGCCTCCTGAGTATCTGAGACTAGAGGCGAACGCCACCGTACCTGGCTAATTTTTTAAGTTTTTTGGTAGAGACAGGGTCTTGCTGTATTACCCAGGCTGATCTCAAACTCCTGGGCCCAAATAATCCTCCACCTTGATCTCTCAAAGTGTTGGGATTATAGGCATGAGCCAGTGGCTGGCCTCAGGATCCAAGATTTCTGTACTGCCTCTAATTTCTGCTACCACTTAAACTCAGGCAGGTGGAGCCTACACACTGATATTTCCTTGTGGATATCACACTTCTGAACATGCCTGCCAGGTAAAGCTCTCAAACTTACCAGGGAAGGTGATGACAACTTGACTCAGCCTTACACAGAACCTTATGTAGGTCTCACACAATGGAACAATGTACAAATAAGCATTTTTCTTTCCCAAGAAGCATGTAAAGATTTCCCATTCCTGCCACTCAACTTCTCTTTGTTGTGATAGGGTAGAAGAATTACTGTATATAGAGAAGATGTCTGCAGTGCTCAGTAAACACAGACGCTAATGAGACTCAGAGGCTCATCTGTGGTCAGATATTATAGCAACTTAGAATTAAAAAACAAAATATTTTGCTCTATGGAAAGGAAGTATGGTGAGGAGCTGATGGATTATTTATTTATTTATTTATTTATGAGACGGAGTCTCGCTCTGTCGCCCAGACTGGAGTGTAGTGGTGCAATCTCGGCTCACTGCAAGCTCCGCTTCCTGGGTTCACGCCATTCTCCTGCCTCAGCCTCCTGAGTAGCTGGGAGTACAGGCACGTGCCGCCACGCCCAGCTAATTTTTGTATTTTTAGTAGAGATGGGGTTTCACCATGTTGGCCAGGATGGTCTTGATCTCTTGACCTCATGATCCACCCGCCTCGGCCTCCCAAAGTGCTGGGATTACAGGTGTGAGTCACCACGCCGGCCTGATAGATTTATTTAAATTAATAATATGAAACTATATTTGTTCCCTGTGTAGTTCAAATACATATATATATATAAAAAAAATTTTTTTTTAAGGCAGAGTCTCGCTCTGTGGCTCAGGCTGGAGTGCAGTGGCGCAATCTCAGCTCACTGCAAGCTCCGCCTCCTGGGTTCACACCATTCTCCTGCCTCAGCCTCCCAAGTAGCTGGGACTACAGGCACCCGCCACCACACCCGGCAAGTTTTTTTTTTTTTTTTTTTTTTTTTTTTTTTTTTTTGCATTTTTCTAGTAGAGACGGGGTTTCACCATGTTAGCCAGGATGGTCTCGATCTTCTGACCTCGTGATCCACCCGCCTCAGCCTCTCAAAGTGCTGAGATTACAGGCATGAGCTACCGCACCCAGCCTCAAATACTTGTATTTTTAACCTCATTTGAAGAAGTATTTTCTCAAAATGAAAGTACCAGGTCATTATGCACAAAACTTTGTCTGTAGAACCATCTAATAATGGACTCTACTCACCTTGTCAAATATAATTTTTTCATGTCAAATAGTCTCTAGTGTGGAAAAACATTGAGCATATTACTATAATTAGGAACTTACACATTTATTAAAACACATGCATTTATTTATTTATTTTAATGGATGAGAGGTTTTTATGTTGCCCAGGTTGGCCTCGAACGCATAGTCTTGCCTCCGTATGTGCCAGGACAACCATTCAGAGCCACCGAGGCTCCCGAAACACATGCATTTGCTTGCATTAGAACTTCAGCCATGTCTCAGGATATGGTAGTTTTGGAATTGAGAGTTTCAGATGTTTTGTGCTTGAAGCTAGCTCCCAGCCTCTCTGCTTCGGTAAGGCTTGGTCTTTTTCTGACTAGATACGTATTTTTCATTGTTCCAAAATTGAAACACAAAGGATACATAGCAAAGTATTTTCCCCCACTTCCTACCTGGTGGCAGCCATATCGTATCTCGTGTACCGTATGTTGTAAGGGGTAGATGTCTAAGCTAGCAAATGATCACTCTTCACAGGAGAGCTACAAGGAAACTTAAATGAATGTGCTTTTTCAAAGCCCATTTTGGCTTGTGCTAGTTAGAATGTAGGAGGCATTTTATCTATTTTTCATTGTTGATGACTGTTTTACTTATTTGTTGATTGGAGACAGTCTAGCTCTATGCCTAGGCTGGAGTGCAGTGGCGCAATCTCAGCTCGCTGCAACCTCCGCCTCCCAAGTTCAAGTGATTCTCATGTCTCAGCATCCCAAGTAGCTGGGATTACAGGCACCTGCCGCCACACCTGGATAATATTTGTATTTTTAGTAGCGACAGAGTTTCTCCATGTTGGTCAGGCTGGTCTCGAACTCCTGACCTCAGGTGATCTGCTCGCCTCACCCTTCCAAAGTGCTGGGATTACAGGCGTGTGCCACCATGCCCAGCCTGATGACTTTTTTTTTTTTTTCTGAGATGGAGCGTCACTCTGTTTCCCAGGCTGGAGTGCAGTGGCACGATCTCGGGCTCACTGCAAGCTCCACCTCCCGGGTTCATGCCTTTCTCCTGCCTCAGCCTCCCAAGTAGCTGGGATTATAGGCGCCTGCCACCATGCCCGGCTAATTTTTTTGTATTTTTATTAGAGACAGGGTTTCACCGTGTTAGCCAGAATAGTCTTGATCTCCTGACCTCATGATCTGCCCGCCTTGGCCTCCCAAAGTGCTGGGATTACAGGCGTGAGCCACCGCACCTGGCCCTGATGACTATTTTAAAATCACTTCTGGCTTCCTTTCCAGGTGATAATAGAACGATACAAGGGTGAGAAGCAGCTTCCTGTCCTGGATAAAACAAAGTTCCTTGTACCTGACCATGTCAACATGAGTGAGCTCATCAAGATAATTAGGTATTCAGCCACCTTTGTTTTATAATAAATTTCCTTTGAGTAACTTCTTGTTCTTTATGAAACTTACAGATAAATATTTAGTTCTGGTTAAAATCTTCAAAAAAATCTTTTTCAGCTGAATTCAGTTCTGATTAAAACCATTTCAACTTAAAACTATAAAATGTTTCTTTTTTGAGGTTTTATATTTCTTACTTGCTAGACTTCAGATCCAGTTTCTTTTATCATAACATCTACTGTAGATGTTTCCTGTTGCAAATCAATGTTACAAGTTATTAAGGTTTTGTACAGCAAAGCTAAAGAGAATGTAGACTCAGTGAGTGGCAAAAAATGGCACAGGCTTAGATCTTAGAATAGTTTGGAAACTGTATTTGAACTACTTTCTTACATTAGACATTTTAACAGCTATTCAGACAGCATACTAGTTTAAAGTCAGCCTAAAGTGTAATCTTTCAGTGATTATAGCTCATATCAGTCTAATCAAAGGAAATGTCCTGTGCTTTATGAGAAGTATTGGATTCAAGAGCATTTAGAAAATTTTCATATTTTATTGATCAGATGGGTGATATTTTAACACATGCTTCATCCTTCTTGTATTGTTGTCAATATTTCTTCATGTTGTTTTCTTTCGATAGAAGGCGCTTACAGCTCAATGCTAATCAAGCCTTCTTCCTGTTGGTGAACGGCCACAGCATGGTCAGCGTCTCCACACCAATCTCAGAGGTGTATGAGAGTGAGAAAGATGAAGATGGATTCCTGTACATGGTCTATGCCTCCCAGGAGACGTTTGGGATGAAATTGTCAGTGTAAAACTAGAAAAATACATCTATTCTAGAATTTTTTAAACCCTTACCAAGGAAAAAAAAGGGATGTTACCAACTGAGATGGATCAGTTCATCTAATCACAGATCATCCAACAGTAGTGTTCCCACCTAGGAGTGTTAGGAAGTTGTGTTTGTGTTTCAAGCAGAAAACTGAGCTCCAAGTGAGCATGTTCAGCTTTGGAAACTATATTATTTAATGTAGGCTAGCTTGTTTTCAGATTTTAAAAATTTAAAAATAAAATACTTTGCATTCTAAGTTGCCAATAAAATACACCTTCAAGTTATTTTAATGCTCTTTTCTCACTAATAGGAACTTGCAATTCCAGGAGTAATATAAAGGCTTTCAGAGAGACCCTGAGTCTTCTCTTCAGGTTCACAGAACCCGCCGCCTTTTCGGGTAGAAGTTTTCTACTCAGCTAGAGAGATCTCCCTAAGAAGATCTTTAGGCCTGAGTTGTGAAGCGTAACCCCCGCAAAATGCATTTGCCATCAGAGTTGGCACAAATGCAGGGTAAATGAGGTGTAAGAAAACGGCCCTGACTGTAAACTGCTGGAGGTCCCCAGCTTCTAACAGAACCACACCCAAAGTCCACACTCTTGCAGGGGTAGACATTTCTGGTTTGTTCTCTAGATAGTTACACACATAAAGACTCCACTCAAAAGGAAACTTGAATAATTTATAATTTTGATCTAGTTTCTTAAAAGACCCTGGAGAAAGAGTGGCATTTCTTCTGTTTCAGGTTTTAAGTTCAAACTGGTGCCTGTGTTGTTACGGAAAGCAGCAGAGTACCAGTGTCATTCTGGAAGATAGCGGTAGAAACCACAAAATGGTGTACCTGAAAGCATTAACATTCAGACACACTCGCTTCTGCCTTCTGGCTTAAAGCTATGGATGATTCATGTTTTTTAGTGTTAAATGTATAACTCGATATTACTGAAAAGGTTCCCACATTTTGAATAGTAGTTGTCACTGTTAGGTCAGCCAGCCATCAGAATTCTCCCACACTAAGTGCATGTCAGTTGTGGAGAAAACATAGCAAAAAGAGCCATACGCTCTTTACAGATACTAATGTCAAGAGTTAAACCTCCTCAGGTTCAACCTGTGATAAAAGACCAGTGCTTCCCACTACCTGCATGTGGTTCGCTTTTATAATTTTCTTGGGAGTATCACAGGAAAATCACAGTTACACCACTTTAGACCCTATGTGTAGCAGGTCACAACTTCCCCTTGTGTGTGTAGATGTGTATGGAACACCTGTGTACATTAGTGAAAGCTGTTTACTGTAACGGGGAAAACCAGATTCCTTGCATCTGGGCCCTCTACTGATTGTTAAAGGAGTTCCTGTCACCTGCTCTCCCCCAGTGCATGCGTCTGTCCACCTGGCTAACTTTTAATATGTGTATTTTTACATTATGTAAATTCTTAACTGGCCTGTCTCATTTAGACTGTATACATCATATCTGACATTATTGTAACTACTGTGTGATCAGTAAGATTCCTATAAGAAATACTGCTTTTTTAAAAAAAAAAAAAAAAAAAGTAACATGCTGAGGGGTGACCTATATCCCATGTGAGTGGTCACTTTATTTATAGGATCTTTAAAACAAGTACATTTTTAATGAACTAAGTTGAATAAAGGCACAATTAAAAACTCATCAAAGCTCAGTTTAATGGGATCCGTTTTTGAGACTTGGATCCCACACTGTGTGTACTTTCCAAAGCAAAGCAGGTCCCTGTATTCCCAAGGAGGGGCATCCAGGCTGGTCCTCTCGTGCTGAGGGGGCACTCACATGGAGGAGCAGCACCCTCTGAGGGCCTCTGCCTTGTCAAGGGCACCCTCCCCACCTTGGCCAAGGGCCTGCCACCAGGTCTAGCCTTTATAAAGCGAAGTCCTCTTGAGAACTCGTGTGTCACGGGCTATAAGGATGGATGCGAATTGACTCACGTTTTGTGGAAATAAACACCCAACAACCTACTGCTGTAAACCAGCCACCACAAGTATCAGGTGTGTGTGTGTGGTTAAGAAAGTGTACCCTTGGGGGATGTGGGGAGCTGCTGGCACCGTGTACAGATGCAGCACACACACGCCCTTCAGCACTCAGACCAGACAAAAAGTAGCCAGCCTCCTCATCTGGGGAACTCTGAGCCCAGCTCCAGTTTAAGTAGGCACCTAAAAGTCTGTTGAAAAATACAAGAGTGACATGAGACAACAGACAACTGCCTTCCCAGGCCAGGTGCTCAACAGAAGCAGCTTGTCCCTTGTCCTGTCTTCAGAGCTCCCCGTGGGTGCTGTGTCCCCACTTACTTCCCTGACGTCACCAGAGCACATGCTCAGTATGTTGCCACCTCCCAAATCCAGAAGGTGTGGTCTTAGATGCCATGGGATCGTGATTCTGTATGTTGCCGAGTCGGTCACAGGCTGGTGTAGCAGCTGGTGGCTTTTGTCATTGTGTTGCCCCCCTCTGCAGCAGGCCTGCTCCTTCCCTGGGAGTCACTTCTGGATAGGGCCACATTCCCAAGGTATCTGAGATCCATTCATGCCAACTTTCATTTTTATGGAAACTCACGTTGAAACATCTTTAACCCCAAATCAGGAATTTACATCTTTGTTATTAGCAGGGACACTTTAAAAAAAAAAAAATACACGCCGGGTGCGGTGGCTCACACCTGTAATCCCAACACTTTGAGAGGCCGAGGCAGGCGGATCACAAGGTCAGGGGATCGAGACAATCCTGGCTAACACGGTGAAACCCCGTCTCTACAAAAAAAATTTGAAAAATTAGCCAGGCGTGATGGCGGGTGCCTGTAGGCCCAGCTACTCGGAAGGCTGAGGCAGGAGAATGGCGTGGAGCTTGCAGTGACTGGAGATGGCACCACTGCACTCCAGCCTGGGTGACAGAGCGAGACTCCATCTCAAAAAAAAAAAAAAAGAACACTTGGCCAGGTGTGCTGGCTCACGCCGGTAATACGGCTAAGGTGGGCAGATCACCTGAGGTCCAGAGTTCGAGACCAGCCTGACCAACATGGAGAAGCCCAAGTCTACTGAAAAATACAAAATTAGCCAGACGTGATGGCAGATGCCTGTAATCCCAGCTACTCCAGAGGCTGAGGCAAGAGAATCGCTTGAACCCGGGAGGTTGGCGTGAGCCGAGATCATGCCATCGCATTTCAGCCTGGGCAACAAGAGTGAAACTCCATCTCAAAAGAAAACAACAAAACTTTGGCACCTTGATAGAGAATGAATGGATTTAAAATCAGGTATCCCTTTTGTAAATCTGAGAGGGGAGAAAGGATGGAACCCCTAGTTTGGAGACTCAGACTGATCTGAAAAGGTGTGTGGGTACATATTCTGAGACAAAGACCTAGTGACATCAAACACAGCCTTTTTTAAAATTTTTATTTTCAGTACATTAAATTTACTCATAAAAACATTCTAAAAATGTACAATTTGTCCTTTTTAACAAAGTATAATAAAACATAAAAACCCCAAAAACAGAATACTTGACATTTACAATTCAAAATCAAATTAGCGGAATATTAAATATTTACAAAACTATATCTTTTAAAAATATTTATAAAGTTACATGCAATTTTGTAGAATTGACAAAAGAATGGCTCAAAAATGGGAGAATTTTCCTTCATTCCTAAAAAGAAAACATGTCCAATAGAAGCTGTGAAGGTATCTTGAGTACACAAGGTGTCCAGTTTCAGTACCAAAGCCTTCTCTTTCTGTGCACGTAAGACTCATACATGTGATGAGGGCTTGTTACAACGCACGTGAGGCCGCGGCTGATGGCCACTGCCCCCTTCCTTGGTGAACAGTGGAGCAATGTTGACCTTTGGCCTCAACCAGCACAGTATATGGTTTTCTAGAATATTGCGAGTGTTGATTAAAGACGCTTTCATTCAGACCCTTGGGACTTTTCAGCAAATTCGCCTCTTCAGAACCCATGGCGTTCAGTGCCACCTGACTCATTCTTTGGGAGTCACCTGCATGCTGGAAATGACAGCTACCCCCGCTCAGGTCGCACAGGACTCTCCTCTGGGACAGCAGTCGAGTCAAGCAGGCTGACGGCTTTCCTCACAACCTTGAAGACCTCAGCACGCGGTACCATCAGTCATCACGGCGTACAACGAGCAGGGCATACAACAAAACGCTGGGAAGCAGGAAGAGTGACAAGAAAGTGACGGGGAGCAAGGAGGGTGCAACCCGGTTCCCATTTGGCAAGTGCCTAAAGCCCCGCTCAGCCTCTGTTCAGAGGGGAGGCGTTCCAGCCAGGTGACGTTTAGGCCAAGTCACTACCCCGCCCACCACTGTGCCCCAACACAGAGTCTGTGGTAGAAACTAACTGTGCTGACTCTGGGCAATAAAGGACCTAGAATTCTAAGAACTGAATGAAGAATACGGAACCTACTAACACCCCTACATGAACAAGCTGACTCCTGTAATCTTTTGGAGATGACACATGATGCTGGTTTTTCAAATACCCAATCACATATATGCATTCAAGAAAATAACTTGTCTTTATTTTTATTACAAGTGCTAGCTCCCATTTCCTCAGTGCTCTTCAGCAATGAGATTTTATGTTAAACACCTTCCAACGGTCAATATTACCATGAAATCAACATTAGAAAATAAGGTAGAAAACTGAGTGTTTTGCTTAAAAAATAAAACGAAGGACTAAATAGCTGTTGTATCCCAACATCACGTTCTGCTTCCATCTCTACATTCCACTTTCCCCATTCTTGGAGATTAAAAAAACTGGCTTAGAAACTTTAATATCTGACAGACTACAAAGGGCAAAGACGTGGCACGTGGCCAGTGCCACACCTACCTGGTTGCCACAGCATTCTGAAACAGACCACAATTTCAGGAAAATGCCTAAGTACTTGAAAGGGTATGTTCTGTGTTTTCAGATGAGGAAGTCTGATGAACACAAGATGCTCTTCAGGCGCGCCAACCTCGGGTGCTTTTGGAGAGATGCATCCGAGCTCACTGCTGGCAAATTCTCTCAAGTCCAAGCCTGCGGCTCCCTCAGGGAGAGGCCCTCACGGATGGGCGGTTCCATTTTCTCTGCACTGTGTGGTTCCTATTTACAGCTCACGATTCTCGACTTCGGACGGCCTCCCTGGAGACGTCACACCGCCCACACACGTTCAAGACGCCTGGAAGCTCCACAGAGACCTCCGCTGCGGGGGGCAGAGCCGGGACAATGTTGGAACTCGTTTACCTCAATGCTGAATGGCAGGCTTCAAGTTGAAAAGTTTCTGTTTTAATGTTTTGCTGGATTTAAGGTTAACCTCTAATACTTATCAAAATAGTTACATGGGTAACAACAGACGCTTTCATTCCCCTATACTGACCACTAAAACAAAAATTTACATGTTTTTTTCCTTTTGTTATGAGACGGTTTTCAACAATTTCAGTGTTGAAATAGGATTTATTTAAAATATTTCTTTGTTTAAAAAACCAAAAAATTTAAAAGTTTGGCTTTCAGCACATATCCAGGCCACTGGAATGGCCTTCAGAAATATTAAAATCGTAAACATCAATGAACACTCTAAGTCTTCCTTTAACGTAATATGAGAAGGTCCAGTCTAGTACTCTTTAAGGCAAAGTTGTGTCAGTTCTCATTATTTTGACATTTTGTAGTGTTTATAATTTAAAAGATCAACGTAACATTCCCCTAAATAGCTGTTGTAATAAGCATCACCATTACTTCAACACTGTAATACTGTGTACTATGAGGAGAAAGAGGAGGTCTGTTAATTCTGCATTGCATAGAAATAAAATTCAACTAAAATAAAACTAACAAACTCTACGAAAAGCCTGTCATAAAGAAAGTAACAACTTTCTGCTTTAGTTTCTATGAAGTTAGGAACTGCTCTTAAAATTGAACCCTCACATCACAATGCCTCATTCTAGGGTATTCTTTTGATTTACATCAATTTTTCATGAGGCTGATTGTCCCATTTTAAGAATGGTCTGAATATTTCAATTTTTTTTTTTAAATAAATATCCAACTGCAAAATCCCTGGCAAGATTTTACCACTCAGAATTTTAACACTGACAACTTTAGCATTTTAGATGGGTATTATTTGAGCAGAAAATTCCCTTTAACCTTGAAGATTTAAGTCTGTGAATTTCAGACAAAAGGCTTTCATTTCCATGGGCTGAAATTTAGAGATCTACAGTGAGGACTTTGATTACTACCTGACCAAAACCAGACTGGCACAGATCTCGTAGCTCTCGCGTGTGTGGCCTCTTCCAGAGTCCTACCACTTCCCACTGTTTTCCAAGTAATTTTTAACGGAATTAACTATCAATACACAGCCTAATACGAAAGAAGTTGACAGGAGAAAATTCCCAATCTTTTGCTGATAAATGACAGGACTGTATCATTGTTGAAATGTCTGTCTCAGATGCGAATCCGCTAGCGATAAGCCTCGGGGTTGGAAGTTCTTGGGGAGCCCGTGGGAGATAAAGCAACTTGCAAACTCTGCTAAGGACGTGCAGCATCCTCACCGCCACTCACAGAGCCGCGCTGTCGCCGAGCCCCCTCGGGAGGTGATTTGTAGTGGAAGACAGGGCTCGAAGCCACTGACCGGCTGGGAAGAAAGATATTCTCAAAGCTCTGACGACTATGGATTCTCT